CCTCCTCTTCCCCCTCACTGTACTGAACTTCAGCTATAATATAGTTCTTCTCCCGGCCCAGAATTCTGCCCCAGAAGCGACAGGTCTGCACTGGCTGAACACTAACAAGTTTTTTAAGGGCAAGAAATATGAGATAGGTTTCATCTCTGTTCAAGCCAATTCCACCCTGTTCAAAATAAAAGGCTGTTTCCATCACGTTAGGTAGAGGAGTCCCTCCCTAGTAAACAAAATCATGAGTTAGAGCTGAAAAATAATAGCAGTATCTATTTGAAAGACTGAACAAGATATCCACTGAAAGTCATACTTCACTCTCTCAAAGTACTTTGCAGGCATTCATTTATTACATCTTTCACTATTGTTTAGAAAAATTAAAAATGCCACAATAAGGATAAAGAATACAGATAAACACCAGCTTTTAGAATACAAGATCCCAAATTTCAAACTCACTATTAACTATTGAAAAATAAGGAAAGTCAGAATTCTCACAAAGAATCTTCAGAAGACTTCTTTGCTTATGCATATTAACTATATAAGAGGCCTTGATAACCAGAAACAAAACTACTGTGTTTCCTTGTGTTTGTGAAAGATGCATTTGGGGAGAACAGAAAATATATTTTAGACACCAGGTCAACACTGTTTATCTGAAATTAATGTTGTTCTTTTTAATACCTTGTCATAAAGCTCCCTCTATTAAAAGAGCGAATTTCTTAAGGTTAGTGTGAAATATTGGCCCCTACTCTTACTGAAGTCAGTAATGCTCTGGCTGGCTTGCGGGATGCAGAACTAGGCCAATAACAAGGATTAAGAATTTACATTTGGTTTTTCATCAGTCTCTCATTTCATGGGAGTAGTTGGATAAAGATTGTAAATTATACACAGCAGGGAAGGGAATTTAGGGGAAGTAATGCTAGTTTTGCATGGAATTTGTCTCATTCTTAGAGTTTTTTTAGGTCAAAACAAGATAGACAAGAGTATGAAAAATTCAAAATTCCTTTCTGGAATTTTTCTCCATTTTTTCTTTTACCATTGCATATTGCATATGATATATTGTTACTGTAAAATGAGTAATAGGCTATGGTGAAGGTGCAAAAATGTATATACAGTTGTTAGGATGTGTATTCTGTGGTGGCAATTCATTTGAATACATAGTGATAACTTCATATGAAAACCCACATTTGTTATCTTAACATCCCTTAGTTATTATAAGATTTCCCTTAGTTTTTCTTCGGTTGCTAATACACTTGTATGTAAGAAACTGAAAACTGAATATTTCCCTGTTTAATGAAATGGCTTTTTTTTTTTTTTTTTTTTTTTTTTATATCAGTAGCTCTTCTACTTCTAACCACAAATTTTTTTCTAGTTGTAGAAGGAAGGACTGAAACCACAGTTGAAGCTGGGAGATGACAAATTCTTCATTCTGTATTTTACAGTAGAAGCTGTGTGCAAAATTCTAAATCTGCACTAGAATAAACCTAGAATTATGGTCACCTTAGGTAAAGAAAAGCCAGTTTTAGGTAAAGAATTTGAATGGAACATTCCAGTTTGAATTGGCACATGAGAGATACTTCCCTTTCTATTCATCATCTCTAGAACATCTAGGATTTTAAAGTCTCAGGACATTAGACTTACTACAGAAACAAAATTCCCAACTAAGTAACCAGTTGTGTTTTCTTCACAACTAAACAGAGGACCAGCTTGACTGTGAAAAGGATGCAATTATTTCATGTGATCATGAGAGCCAATGCTACAAGAGAGACCAGAACATCCCCCCTCTTTCCTTTCCCTTCCCACCATCCTGCCACCCATCTCTCCAGTATATCTGGTGTCTATTTTTTTCTAATAATAACTCACTAGCTCTTCTTCTCGTTCTTCATCTCCTCCATCTGACTTGAGGAACAAGTTTCTGCGCATTTCTGCAGATTCAAACGATGGAAGAATCTCATGTTCGTCTCGAAGAGTATCCATTTTCTTCTGAAACTGAGCTGCCTTCAAATCCTTGCTAATGTTCTCAAATATGTCTACTGGATCTGTGGGCTGTTCATCTAGGATTTTTGTTAGCACATTAACAAGATGATCATATCTGTCATATAAATAAAGATATGATTGGTCTACTATACAAAAGACTTAGAACATTACATTTTTAATATTAAAAGTAGAAACTAATCACCTGGGTCTTCAGAGAAAAAATAGATGAAAAGGGTCTTGGAGCATTGCGGGAAATTAGACTTGAAACTAATCTGTTTGTATTGTCCAGTTTTCCATTTTTTGTTTATCCCACATCTTACTCGGGAATTACAGGAGAATTTAAACCTAATCGCATTCAAATCAATTTCCCTTTGTACTCCATAATTCCCCTTGGGATTTTTTTTTTCTGAAAGATGATGGACACACAAGTATAACATAGTGATGAGATACTGCATTTGTAACGTATTCTCCTGTTCTGTAACCTCTGCTACCCCTTTCCTTCTTAACATATCCCTTTGCCCTTTCATCAACACTTCTTTTATTTCCACTCCTACTTCCTATCCCTTTCAATTTTGTTCCTTTTTCAGACTTACAAGTTCAGGCCAGATGTTACGCTGCTCTTCAGCAAATAGGCTTTTGCATTCTGACACGCCAGCATTCGTTGTTCAGGATCTGGTGTTAGATCATCATATGGACCGTAGCCTGGCTGATAAAGTCCATAGCCTGGTTCATGTGGCAAATAAGGTCCATGCTCACGTTCATAGGCTTGGTAGCGATCATGTCCACCGTACGTCTGATAGGCACCTCTTGGTTCCTGAGTTCCTAGCGGGTAAGTCTGATACACGCTTACCTCCTGTGCCTGATGAGAGTCTTGTCCCAGTGCGTATATCTGACTGAAGTTTATGTCTGGCACATGTTGCTTGTAAGAGGTTTCTTCTGCGCCCTGTGGGTGACAGAGATATTGCATTGGGGTCAGTGAACGATGTACTTGTCCTGGTGCACGAGCCCGGCCAGCAGTCCCAAGGTAGAGGTCCTAGTAAGGTGCCTGCGACTGACTGCCACGCTTTCCCAGCCCCCCTGGCGGATCAGACCGAGGCCATACCTCCTGGTACTCGGAAGCTGCTCCCGCTTCTAATTGCTGAGGCCGGTGAGACTCTCCTCCGGGTTCAGAGCCCTCAGAAGGCAGCCGCCCAGGGTCCCCGCCAGGCTCGGCCATGGCCAGACGGCTCAGCAGCCGCTCAGCCTCGCTCACCGCCGAGATGTAGCGGCAGCCGTTGCCATGGCAGCCGTTGCCGGAAGGGGTGGGCCGGCCGTTGGCCTCTGCTGTCGGCAGCGGACTGACGTTTGTCGCCGCCGGCCGGCGCTGTGAGCGGCGGCCCTGAGGGAGAGCCGATGAAACCGCTGGAGCTCCTTCGGACGGTTAACGGGACAAAGGGAAGGCTTCTGCGCCTGCTGCCGTTCCCGCCGGGCGGGCGGTTCCCTTCGTTCAGCAGCTGGCCGAGCCGCTCTTCGCGCCCGTTTGTCTGCAGGGGGCTCCGTCCCGCTCCCTTCCCCGCTTCGTGACCCGCTGCGCTCCGTGTCTGGAGCGTCTGCGGTGCAAGAGCCTCTCGCAGCTTCGGCTGAGAGCAAAAAAGTAGACCTTCCAAAGCTTACTTTTCCTTTAGAAGGAAACACGCCGTGTTCCATTACCTTCACTGCATGCAATAGAAAGCGCTATTTAATCTGCTGCATTCCAGTAGGGACACGTCATACCATTGCTATATGGCATCAAGCTTTTTCTTCTAGGACGAAAACACGCTGTAAAATCTGATGAACGTTTAAAAAATTGCCTTTGCAGATCCAGGGAAAAGCAGATCTAAACAAAATAAGAATGAAGGTAATACTGACAGAAGAGTTAAAAAAAAAATTGCATCGTGTCCCTGTGATTCCAGAAAGGGAAACAGCGTCCTAAAAATGCTAATTCTACTGCGTCTCCACGTGTAGTGGTTTCATTGTTGACCTTCTGGTCTTCACAAGCAACGCGCCGCGCTCCCTGCGCTGCAGGGGCACCTGCAGAGCTCAGCCAGCAGCTGCAGGGGGCGCTGCAGCACTGCAAATTACTCGCGCGTTACTTCTGACGCTCTACCCATATTTCTTATCTGAAGGAAAACCTTGATTTGTTGTTTAGCGTTACAGATTAAAGAAAGATTAACGCGGTGGAATGGAAGAAGAGACAAACAAGAAAGGAATGCTCGCTCGTATCCAAAGACCTAGGCTCATAGGGAAAAAACTTCACAAAGGAGGGATCTCCAGAAAGAGATCTTCCCCCTATAGCAGTCAGCCCTTAAATGGGGTCTAAGAGAAGAGGAGCCAGGCTGCGCCCCTCCCGGTCACACAGCTGAATCGCCTTCACCTGTGCTCCCACGGCTGACCCAGTCCTTAGGTGATCAGTCAGTGATTCAGGCTGTGACTCTACAGTTCCCATACACTTAGTAATTCACGTTTATAAAATGTATAAAATTGTCTGTATACGTGTGATGTTCTGTGAAGCACCTGCCCAAGAGAGGACAAATACTTCATTTTTTCAATCTCCTTTAGAAAAAAAAAAAAAAAAAGGAGAATACTAGGACCTCCTGCACTGTTCCATAATGTTGCTCTTTCCCTTTGCTTTCATATGAGTTATAAAGTACACTACAGTACCAGGATAGAGAGTACCTCACTTCATCCACGTGCTGTTTTATCAATGTGCTGTCATCATCTCTCACTGATGTGGAAAAGTAGCAAATGAATGCATGTAATATTACTGAAGAATCTCACTCTGGTGAACACCATCAGTAGCATGTGTTAATTAGCTGAAAAGTAACTAAAGTATCTATGAACATTTTCAGTTTCCAAAGAATATATGCTAATGATTTGTATTCCATTTGCTGTGCTCAGGTATCAGTGGTCTCTCTAGTGCTACACATTCAAGCCATTTTTTTTCAATAACACTTTTTTTTTTTTTTTTTTTAACTGAAATCTTGTTGGCTGCTTTGTTGCATTTCTGTGCAGTTTCATTGTTAAGTTGTGAAGCTGCTTGCACTGGCAAGTGAATTAGAATGGAACTTCCTATTATACATGGAAATCCTTCTGTGCTCTGTTAATTTCTAAGCAAACATTTTTTGATTGAATTGGAAAACTCAGTTTCAGGGCCCACATGTGTCTTTCCTGAAGAATACTTTCACCTGATAAGTAGCACCTGTAACTGCTGAGGTGGCTCCTGTGTAGTGGGCAAGGCAGGTTTAACTGAATTCCACTCCATACTCAGAACCTAGTGCTCCTGTTTTCAGTGCAGCTTGTTCCTATGAGCTGCTGCTGGATGATGTGTAGGACCTTCCTGAGCAAGCTGGAAAATTAGTAGATTTTCAGGCTGCAAATCATAGTCAAGGCTGAAGAGCCCCAGAAGATGTGAAGATGAAGTCTGGCTTTTTGTTTACCTTGTATTAATGAATTAAATACCAAATTCAATTTCTAGTAAAGATCTGTTCTTTTAAAATGTTGAATGAGCTACAGTTGAGCTACAGACACTCTCCTTCAACTGGAAGTCCTTCAGTACTCCTCCCGATGACAGGTGGCTCAATGGCCATAGCCTGACATAGGCTTTCTTACATGAATTCCACATTGTTTTGAGAATGTGGGACTAAGGGAACTTCTTAATGCTGTCTGGTCTTGTCCCTTGTTATCACGTGCAATGCAGTAGCGAATCTCACCTAAATTCAGTAAAGTAGGCCTCCTGGTGCATTATTAACGGCGTCAATACCATCCTGTTATTAGAAAGGAAGCGAGGGCAGCGGTTGCTAGCCGCGATCGCGGTGGGCGGAACGGCTTGCGGGCGGTACGGCTGGGGGGGCGGAGGGCTGCTCTGCCGTTCCCAGGCAACCGCTACCAATAGAGGGCGGGCGGAGGACACCGCCGGCCGCTTAGGGCGGCTCGGGGCGCTGAGGCGCCGGTTCCGGCGAGTAGGTGCCGCTCGGTACCCAGCGGGGCCCGGCGGTACGGTGACGCTCAGCGCTGCGGTGTGGAACGTGCTTTGGGCCGGGCTTGCTTAGCGTGGCACACTGGGCTTTGCGTAGCGCTGCGGTTCGTGTGGTGGCGGTACGGAGCCTTCCCGCTGGTCCTCCGCCCGACGATCTTTGTTTTATTCTGCTGTGTTTCAGTCTGGGAATCAGTCTCCTGCTCATCCTGCTCTCTGTTCGAGCCCTTATGTTCCTTAGATTTCTCGTCCAGGCGTTTCCCTTCTGTCAGTCTTCAGTGAAGGGGGCGTTAAGGAAAAACAGACGTTCGCTATCAATGATTTGCACTGAAATCAAGAAGAAATTGGAAACATTCACAGTAACCAGTTTCTGGGCTGCTGTGTTTTATCTCTGACTTGTCCGTGCAGTCTCCTTCTATACTGTTAATTGAAATCCACTGCTAGAGATAGCCCCAAGCTGAAAAAGGAGGAGGCTGCTGGCATCTTTATTGCTGTGTTAATGCTACCCAAGCCTCTAATCCCAGTACTTGCTGATAACTGTTAGAAAATGTTGACCCAACCCACATAAATTCAGTGAGTTGCACCAGTTCTACTAAAAATGCCTCTTACTTTTTTTTCTCCATCCATGTTCTGAATTTGTTTTAGAAATAAAGTAAAATGGTGTCCAAATTCCACATTGTCTGTTTGTCCTTTAAGCACCAAAACTGTCAATCACGTTGCAGATGAGTTTCCTCAGATTAGTTAATGCTAATATTTTTAATCAAAACTCCTCGAATTTTACTTAAATAACTTTTTTTTTTTTTTCATTTATAGGGGTTGACTGTTTATGGAGTTCAAGTAAAATACATAAACAGAGATACTTCTACATTTTAGAGTGGTACACTTGGTCACCCAGCCATGCCTGCAGAAGGAAAAAGTGATATGGAGAGGATTGGCCTCTTCAGTGAAATGAGCTATGTTACCATTGGAGATAAATATGTATCACATTATATGCGTAAGTATATTTAATTTTAATCACCATTAAAAATAGGGACTTCTTTTAGTATCCATGTTTTTTTCAGGTTCATTATTTTCTATTATTTCATTTTATCAGAGGCAACTGTTTTTTCATACATATTCTTTGCTTAGATATGAATGCTTGGCATGATGGCATATATATCAAAGAAACAAAAACCTAGTAACATAAGTATGCATAATAGAATCACTATAAAGTTAATGTCTAACTTTATTTTTAATATAGTTTACCTGTAAGTTGTGAGTATTTTTCCATGCTTGTGTAAAGTAATGGTGTTATATGCGTCCTGCCTTTTTTTGGAAAACATTCTCCTCTTTTTGTCTTTTTGGGGAATCTCATGTATAGGAGTGAGAACAGAACAGAAAAACAAAAGAAAACAAAAAAACCCAAAAAACTCTAACCATAAATTACAACTCTAAATTAAAAATAATGATAATGATAATGTAATTCTCAGAAAGAGAAAGCCTGCTGAAAGAACACATAAGTAAAATGTTGTAGTAGGTAAGATGGCAAAGCTGACCATCAGTAGTTACTTGGAAGTGAAAAATACAAATGAATCCTCTCAGTACAGGTGTGTTTGCTATGATGTTCTGTCAGCGACAAGTGTGTCTGTCAGAACCCTGGCTGACTCACTAGCTCGTTGCTTCCACCACAATAAGCTGCTGGGTGCTAAAACCCAATGCGGGACATTGAAACTGGTCAACCTGGTCTGTAATCTGCCTGGAGAAACAGATGCTCCCCTCATGCATTACTTGTAGTATATAAATAGGCATCAGCTCTAGCTCTGAATTGTAGTCTGGTGTAACTGATCACTCTCTATTTCCTCTAAAGCAAATGTAGGCATTGGAAAATGAAAACTGTGTGCTGTGAATACCTTCTCATAGTATTGTCTTTTACACACAATGTATATTATATGATATAAATCATACAATATACATGTTTGATTTACAAGTGAAATGCTCTGCAAGACATTCTTTGTGCCACCCAGCCATTTGGATCCAGACCTTAGCTTGGATGCAGTCTAAGAGAAGCACTAACTTTGAATGTTTTTTTTTTTTTTTTACCATTCTTACTTTTCTAAAGGCCCTTTTAATGAAACTGCAAGCAAGAACAGACAGATGCTATCTGAGGGGAGCAAAACATTGTCAGCTCTTCAGGCAGGTTATTTTGACCCTCAGTTTAAGAGGATTTTCAGTGGTGAAGCCTACTCAAACCCTGTTCAACTAAGGAGACGTTATAGATTGGCAGAATCAAAGAAAAATTTGGGCAAAGCTTTCCTTCCCAGTAATGGAGATAAACTGCCGTAAGTGTTGTGTTTAGCTATTTTTCTGTATATCTGTTTGTGAATCAGTCTGTACTAATATTACTTTACCTTGCTGGTGCAAAATTGAAACAACCTCTGTTAAGCCTATTTATAATAAGATTCCTCAGAACTTCATCTCCACTTCCATCTTGTTTCTTTTGTGTCCATAACACTGTACACAGAATTCCTACAATTGTAGTTCCATGCACAGTAGATTTGGTACGGATTGATTTTTACCTCTTGAGATTATATTTGTTTGGGTTTTCTACATACTAACATTTAAGCACAATAAATATGGAAAGCCTGAAATATTTACAAAGATCCAATTAATGTGTTAATTTGCTTTTTAGATGTGGACTAGGCAGCTATTATGGAACCATAGGAGGTCCGTTTGCATACTTCAGTGCACAACTGAAAGCCAGAGAAAGATACATTCCTCCTGGAAAGAATTTTTATACTAGTCCAGGAAAAAAAGGAACTGGATATGGGTAACTTCACAACATTACTTCTTACAGTCCTTTATTAAATGCTTTTTGAGGTTTGATCATCTAACTAGTTCATTCTCTTTTTACAGTTATGCAAATCTTACCATAGGTGAGCAATATCCATATGAAGCAGATGGCTATGAATTAGAAAAAATAATTGCAAAGGTAAAAAAGATAAAATCTTTATTATGTATACTAATCGTGATTATTTATTAGAATGTTCATGAACTTCTTGTCACTGTGGTGTTTCCTTCAGCTCAGAATCACAATATTCATTTATTGGATGGTGGAGGGAGGAAGACAAATCATATATGTAAAAATGAAGATTTACTTATTGTTAATTTATTTTATTTTTTTTAAGACAACCAAAGTATCCCACACAAATTCCAGCAATGAAGATTTGACCTTAATTTTTTTTTATGCAGAGTACTTAAGCAACAATTTCAATAATTACCAAAGAATGTGAATAGCAAGAACAATAATAATTCTTCTGTGTTGTTGTCAGAAATGAGATTGTATTATCCTAGATGCCTTACAAAAAAAACCAAACTGAAACGAAAAAGAGTGTATTCTTATCATACAAGCTCATAGTTTGAGGAAAGCTCATATCTTTCCTTGCACCAAATTTCTGAATTTAGTTTTCTTATATATTTTCATTATGTATAGTGAGAAATTACTAAATTGGTCTATGGTCAGAGTAAGACCAGAAAACTCAGAGTCTAACCATTATACTTGTTTGCTCAAGGTATTTAAATAGCCACCGAACAAAGAAGACAGAGTGAATGTTTTTTCAAGAATGAATTTGAATGTTTTCAATGTTTTGGTTAGGAGAATGAAAAGAAGTTGAAAAGCTCAAAATTCTTCCTCTGAATTTATTTATTTTACAGAAAGCACGAGAGGAACACAAGCGTCTGGTTAAAGGAGGGCCTTTCAAAACAAATATGTACCCTCTGGAGTATTTTGACATGAATCCCTACTTTAACGACAAACCTTTGCCACCTCTGAAGAAACCACCTCCAGAGAAGCGAACTGTACCACCTTTCAAACCAAGTTCCCCTGCTAAGAAGGTTAGTTTATCTTAAAGCTACTGCAAACAATGGATAAATATGCAGATGTTTTGAATTAAAACTTTGCTTACAGTACATAACGTAGAAACCAACGTTTCGTACTCTAAAAAATAGAAAAGTTTATTTTGTCTGAGCCAACACTCCCTGATAAGCAGTTTCAAGTAACCTAGAAAGTCTTTAAAATTTGTGTCGTTCTGTTAACATGCAGTTAATTGGCTGGAGAGGCCATGAAATATGCACAGAGTGGAATGAATGTTTTACAATAAATGACAGCAAGAAAGAATTACAGTAGCAAAACAAAATGCTTTTTTATTTTGGACTCTTTCAATCTCTCATGGCATTTTTGAACCTGTATAGGTATCTAAAACAAAATTCTTAGCGGTGTCACGGGAATGGAGAGCTGGAAGGAACAGAAAATGTCAGATTAAGGCTCCTGCTCAGCAAAACGCTGTAGGAGTTATCTTGGGAGTTAGCAGCAGACACAAATCTGGAGTCAGCTTTAGAATTTTCTAATTCTTCAGTATTTAGGAAAAAAGGAGGAGGTGAATGGGAATAAATACATGGGGGAAGCACTCAGGGGACCTAAGAAATGAAGCTTAGTGTTAATGTCAAGGAACATAGTTCATTTGTTTCAGTTACTTTGTTACTTCTTAAAATCCAGATGGATATTTTTGCATTCCATAAAGCATTTCTTTTTAATATATATGTTTTTTCTGAGATTAAATACTAGGTTTATGGAATTCACCTTAGGCTAAATCTTATTTTTAGTTTGAAATGTTCTTAAAATATTGATGCATAAATGTCTCTCTCAGCTGACTCCAAATAGGTAGTACAGTAATACCTCTTAATTTGTCACTTTTCTTCATTTTGGTGTTCCACTGTCAGCCACTTAATATAATGTTCTGCTAATTTTATGATTATTCAGTCCTTCACCATTGACTAATTTGACCGATACTAATTCATTTGAGGAATAAGATGATTGCAGTGAAAATTTAACTGTTCAGAAAAGGACTGCAAAAATGCTTACACATGAAGAATTATGCTGGGTGTTTAGTCTCACAGATGAAGCAGCTGAGATCCTTTTGTGTTCTGAAAAGACAGCTGCTGAAACAGCTGTACATCTCACTGAGGATGCTGGTGACCCTGTTCCTGGCTCTCAACATTGTGCATGCTGCCATTCGAGATACAAATGGTGTACTTCTCAAACTCCCTCTTTGCTATACAAATCCTCACTGGAAAATTTGCTTTATTGCTGATTGAATTGCTTACTGTTGCATTTTAAGGAAAGCAGTCTCAACAGACTGTGGAGATTAGCTGTTCTAGAGGATTGCAAGGAATTAATAAGGTTTCTGCATGCTTTTTAACTAGAAATTGCCACTGTAATAGTTCTGGTGGACTTACTGTTACAGGAAAACCCTGTGTTGTGTTCCTGTACCTGCACTGAATATGGAGGTTTACTGTGAACTAATAGTGACATAGGAATTCTCTCTCTTTTTTATTTTTTTTAACTACATCATAGGTCACTTCAATGAGTTCTGGTTTTACTTTTTCTATCATGTTTTTAAAATCCTTCACTCAAAATCCAGACTTCCAAAGAATATTTTAAACCATCTAATTAATCACTAAAATATTCCCTAAGGTTTCCAATGCAAGTTTAAGGAATTTTGGTTTGCTGTTATTATTGTTGTTGCTTTTAAATAGAATATAATGCAGTCTGCTATTAAGTATTCCCTGCTTTTGCATGAAAAATATTGTAATAAAATTCAAATATTCTGTAGATTGGCACTTTGAAATTTTTTTTTTTTTCAGTCAGGGGGCATGAAAGGAGGCACATTTGATCCTTATCCAAGCCATTCTGCTGACCCTTATGTAATCAAAAAAACTATGGCTGTGTCACCCAGTAAAGAACAAAAGGTTTTTCTTCCTCCTCCTGGACCTAAAAGCAGACCTGTTACAAGTATAATCACTCAAAATGTCATAAGGTAAGCCAAGTTCGTATTTCATGTGTGCTGTCTACCAGCATTCCTTAGCGTAGTTGCTTATTAACAGAGTAATTGAAGGAATTGTTAACAAAAGGATAAGAAATATATAAGGAAGCTTGCTTTCAAAATTTATTCCCATACTTCTGTAAATTTAGGTGAAGTTTTTTTCATACAGTTATTTTTAAATAACTTTCTGTTTGGCGTTATTGTAATTCAAGCAGATGACCGTGTTTTCAGTTTCAAATGGGATTTCTAAGATTGCATGTAAAATAGCTAAGCATAGATGTATGATTTTTTTTTGCATACTCCGTGAGCAACATGAAATATTTTAGAAATATCTGATTAAAATTTCAATCAATATTAGAAGAATGTTTCACATTTGTGATTGTCTGTTATGTATCACATGTGAAGTTCAAGAAACACAACTTTTTAATCCACTTGTGACTGTTCTATTTACTTCACTACGTACCTGAATTTGCTTAATCACTTTTAAATTGTAGGAATTGTTCAAAGTTTCAATTTGCACTGACAGAGCCAAACCAGAAGCTACCTATTACTCCACATTAAATAAGTTTTAAAATTGAGAAGGAATGGGTGATTGTGGAGTATCACCATCAGCTCACAGAAACGGTTATGATGGACTCATTACAAATATTTGTAGAGAGAAAAAAATCACATCTGAAAGTTCCACAGACAGAAATTCAAACCACTTCACCATTTCTCTCGTAACAATTTTAAAGGACATATTGATTTTTGCTTCACTATCCCTAGGCTTAGTGGGAGAATTTTGAACAGCATTTATTGGAAATATGAATGTTATAGCTCATATGTGGTGAGATACTTTTCAAATTGTCAGCTTTTCCCCAGTGGATTACAATTTTTATGTACTTTCCAGTGGAAATCTTATCTTCTGGTATTTTGACTGTAATTCTAAATTGGATTTGTGAGCACAAATTCTTTCTCTGACACAGAGTTCTGTGTAAATCAATTAGATGCCTCATGGATTAAAGTCATTAAATCTAATTACAGGAATGGATGTAACAGTTTTTCATTTTTACAAAAACTTTCCTATTCTGAAGAGTGATATTCTAAAACAAAATCTAATAAGTTTCTCTTCATTTACATTTCAGATCAATAAATGTAAAGAACTACAAGACTGCATATGCTACATCTTATTAGGTAAAAACGGTGAAATGAAGGGTACACTTTTAAGACTCTTAACAGCACAGTTGCTAATCAGCGTTCAGAGCAAATAAAAATGTGAAAAAGTGGAATTCAAGTACATAAGGCAATCCAGTTTGTTTAATTATCGAGAATGCAATATCTGTGTTTGTTTTTTTCACACATACACACACACACAGACACATCTACATACATACTTGGTTGTAAAGCTACAATAAGTAATATAATGTATTCAGTAGGTCCATGGGTGAATAGTTTTTCATCTTATTGCTTCACTTGAGTTTTGAAATGTATTTTTACAGAACATACCCCCTACTGAGTAATTTAGGTTCAAATTCACAAAGTACTGCAGTGGAAAAAAACGCACGTATTTCAAAGACTGCCAAATAAGTTTGCTCATGGTGAAACTAAGATAATTGTTTCCCCTTAGTAGTATTACAATTTATAGTTTATTTCAACAGTACTTTGTGTAAGAACTGTCTTAAAGACTTTCAGTTATGATGACATTCTCAAAATGACCATTGTCAGTCTGTTATAAAGGTAGTTATCTCTAACCACCATCATCTGTTTAACTAAGAGTAGCTCTGTTACCTCTGTGTACATGCAAGTATCTTAACAAACGTAATCCTTCAAACTTCTTCTAGGATGGAACTATGATCCTAACTTTTATAGGGTTTTTTTAAAATGTGGTCCAAGAAACTTGTTCATGTAAATACCCCTCAGCATTTATATTTATTAGTTATTTCTTGAAAATGTGTAGATATTTATTCTTTAAGGATACTTACTACTGTCCTCAAGATAAGGCGGTTTTTTTGTTTGTTTGTTTCCTTATTAATTCTAGACTTGTATATTCTAGACTAGGTCTCACATTTCCTAATATTGAAGAAAATAAAAATAAACAGTTGTTGACCAGGTCTTCCAGCATTTATTGAAGCATAAAACCCCATGCTTTTAGATCAAGAGGACACAATATTTTAAAATACTGTACTGTAATTTGTACAATAATTTTGATTTTGATGTTTTCTTTATCCAAAGACCTGTAAAAGATTTTTTTTTTTTTAACACAGTGTATTAGATAATGGTATTGTGCTGGCTTTAGGTGTCTTTGTACAGGTTATCAGGACAATATGTTATGTTGTTCACTTATGAACTCTGCAGATTTAGCCCTCCTAGACAGATTGGACTGCACAGTACTTCCTTCTAACTGCTGTTCTGATGTAGTGCAGCTGATGAAGACTGCTCTGAAGTTTTTATTTTCCTTTCCTTGCTTTTCCTTCCACCTCTTCAGTTCTTCCTGTTGTATTTTCTTCCGTATTTTAGTTATCTTTTCATTCCCTAGCAAAATGGGGAAATGAGATTAAAATTTATGGCACTTTAGTAAAACAAAACAAAAAGAAAAATCAGAACAACAAAAAGAACCCAAGTCATCTAAAAGACAGGTTAACGTGGGTTAAATTTTATTTAGGACTTCCTGTAAAATAACCTATGAAATGGGGCATGCACTAAACTGCTCAGCTAAAAGGTTGCTAAGATTCCCTTCGAGTCTGAGATCTTTGGGACAGAATTCAATCTCCTGTCAACTGTCATAGTTTCATCACATTTCTATATACTAGTTAAGTTGTATAAGGATCTGCTCTTAATCTGTAAAATGCAGCGAAGTATCAATAAGAGCAGTTTGAGTACATTACAAAAAAAAAAATACTGAAAAGACTGTAAATGATTTAAACAAAAAGAGAAAAAAACACAAAAGATAGTAAGCTACTATGAATTGAAAGTCATACCTTGTGAAAGGCAATCCAAAGGAATTTCTTTACAAGTTCTTGTGGAATGTTCAGAATAACAGTTATTCTGCATGGTGCCAGAACTAGATTTGGGTTTCTTTTGTGCCCATGCTAAAGCTGTAGCTTGGCCTCGGAGATAAACATAATCCTTATGCAAACGGTGGAATTCAAGCTGTGCTACATCTCTCTCATTTTCAATAGTCCACAGTTGATTTTCTAATAGTAAGCATTCTTTAGACAGTTTTCTAATATCATTTTCATATTTGGAAGCATATTGTCTATACTCATTCAGTTCTCTCTTAAGTAGCTGATTTTCCTCTGTGATGTCTGTTATTACTGTTGATAACCTCTTGTATTCTGTGTTTGCAGTAGTCAAGTTGTATTTTAAAAGATCAATATCTGCTTTTGCATTTCTGGGTTCAGTCATGAATTTCTTTTCTGTATACACTTCATCTGACTGGACTTCTTCAATGTCCTTCAGCAGCATCTGTTTAGTATTAGAACATGCCTGCAGAGTCATTTCAAGATTAAGTTTTTTCTCTGCAAATGTTTGCATTAATTGAAGATGAGTCTCCAGTTCAGATTTTGTTGCAGTTTCTTTTTCTTTCATTTGTTTTATTTCACTCTTCTTTCCTTCAAGCTCTTGCTCTAGGGAGCTTTTTTCTTCTGTAAGCTGACCAAGTTTTTTATTTGTTTCCTGTGAATTGGAGTATTTGTGTTTCAAGGACTCTAGCATTGCATTGAGCCTCTCTTTTTCGCAAGTACCAGCAGTCATCTTTCCTTCTAACTTCTTGTTCCTAATTTGAAAATCATGTAGTGCCTGTTTTGTGTCTTTGTTTCCACTGTGGTGTTGATTCTTTTTCTTTTCAAGGACTATTTTCTGGTTCTGGAGTTCTTTACATTTTCTTATCAGGCTCTTTACTTCCTTAACACGTTCCTCATTGCCTTCTGGTGATTTAACCAACTGAGTTTGCATACTCCTCTTTTCTTTAGTGAAATCCTTAATTTTCACATCATATTTTGATATTTTTTCTTTCAAAGACTGTACAGTATCAGCAAGAGGTTTTACCTTGTTCATGAGATGTAGATTTTCATTCTGAAGATAACGTACTCTTTTTTGCAGATGCTCAGAGTTTTTCAGAGGCTTATGCAATGCTTCAATTTCTCCAGCATATTGAGGGGCTGCTTTGTTTTCACTGAACTTCTGATCTCCTAGCCTCAGCAGTATCTGGTTAAAAACAGACAGTTGTTCTTTTTCTAGTTGCTGTTTGTTATCAAGCATTAGTAGCTTATCTTTCACCATTTTGGAAAATGGATCTACCTGGCATATGTTATCTTTACTAAAACTGCTTTTAAGTGCAAGTACATTTCTGCATTCAGATTCTGCTTTTTCATTGCATACTGTTGTAGGAGGGGCCCCTACTGCCATACTCAGAATCTTTATAAAATTCTTGATCAAAATGTAGGCAATTTTCATTAAGTAGAGCTGAAGCAATATGTGATTCATCCAAAAGAAGTCACAATTTCCGCACTGTCTTTGAAGTTATTTAATTTTTCTCTGTATAAAAAGGAAGATTTTTCTATATTATTTGCTAACAAATCTGAATTAGTACTGGCTGACTTCCAAAACTCTTGTTTCAGCAACTTAGTAGCATAATTATCATCTATTTTACAAATTTCTTTCCTGTATTCAAGTACATGCATAGGAAGTTTAGATTTACTCAAAATTACCTTCTCCTGGGCAGCATCCGACCTTTCTGTCTCTGAATCAGTGCCAGATACCAAATGTCCACATGTAAACTCATTGTTTCTTTTAAGTATCCTTTTGTTTCCAATTAGATTTTCAGAATCTTCAACCTTTTCAGTTTTCAATGAAATCCTATGTGAAATTTGTATATCACTGACCACGTTTCTAGCACTGCAGTTTACTTCCACATGCTCTTCAGAACTGGATTGTTGGTCATGGTGAACTTCTCTTTTAGAAGACAACAATTCAGGATATTCTGTAGGCTACCTCACAAAATTAAAAACAAATGTACAAAAAAAAATCATACTGTAAGATTATGAAATATAGTAATGGAAGTATAAGACATCTGAACTGCTAAAAAAGCCACTTCTCAATCAAGACTTGCACAAATTTTGTCTCTGCCAATGCCATTTAGCTATTAGAATGTTAACAATTTTAATCAGACTCATTTAATTCAGTACTGGGTTTTGGAGCAAGCACAACATACTGAGTGTCTTAAATTGATTATATTTCAAGCAGAGGAGAGGCGACCTAAGGAGATTATAGTTTGTCTTTGGTTTTGTCATCCTAGTCAGCACAAATTAAGGGCAAACTGGAGTTACACTAAATAGATGCAGAAAAAGTAAGTTTTATTCCCTTTTTTCATTTCTGTCCCCTCCTTGGCTCTGTCCTGTCTCACTATATGCTTTGTATTGCATTCCGTATCCAGTGAAATGAAATGAAATCCAAATGAATTTGGGGAAGGTCAAGTTACTATTTTGTCTGTGCAAAAAAGAAATGGAAGTTAATCAAAGTGAGTGGAAGGGAACGGAATACATATTCATGACTTCTCAGGAAGAAAACACTTGTTATTTTTCGTACTCAGAATACCCATTGGATTATTTTAAAAAAGAAAAAAAAAAAAAGATTAAAGCCAAAATCCATCTAAAGAATAATGTGTTTGTAGGTAAAAGCTGTTAACATACCAGCGATGCATTATTTGCTGTAAAAGTGATGTGTGCAGTCATCATAATCTTGGCTGAAGTATGTACTGGGGTTTTCATTTCAAATATATTTTTATTTAGTATGTCACTGATTTCAGACTGTACCTGAAAAAGATTATTTATAGAAAACTTACGTAAGTATTTCACCTTCCAAAACACATGGTTAATCAGGAAGTTATCTCTTGCAAAGGACAGACTGAATGGAAATGGAGTGTAGGAACAGGGAACTGTGCAAAACAAGCAAAACATAATGCTAAACGTCCTTTCTGCATCAGCTCTTTAGCTTTTATATAATGAATTAGATAAAATGATGTCAGAAAATGCTCCTGAAAGGGTGGCCTAGGATTTTGTGAGAAATGGCAGTTTGCAGCATTGGAGCAGGTTCTGATGTCTAATGACTAACATCATGTGGAATTGAAACTGATTTGAAAACAACAGTTTCCTTGAGGTTACAGTACTATTAGATTAAATTAGATCTAGTCCTTCAGCTTTTAATAGTTTAATATTTTTAATAGTTTAATAGTTTTAATGTATATTTAACGTACATAATAACCTAAAATACTTATGGCAATATCTAAAAATGCAGGAGTTGGCATTTACATTTAAGAGCATTTGTGGTTTTTTTTTTTTTTTTTACCATATTAGCATTCTCCAGAGTCTGTTTCTGAAATGTCTGAAATGATTCCAGCTGTTGTTGAAGAATCTAAAATGTAGAAACAATATCAGAAAACTGTTTGTTTTTTTTTTAATGAATCAAAATATTTTCTGTTTAACTCATGTTTATTTACTACAATCATTTTCATCCAGATCCTCTTACCATTCAATAGCATTTAGAAACTTATTTCCAATACTGGAAGGATTTCAGCGCTGTTCTTCATGGATAGTTGCTCACGTCACTGAAAGCTCTGGCACATCTGGCATTACTTTTGTTCCATAGTTTTTACCATGAGGCCAAATATATTTATGTTTAAATTTTACTCCAGTACTCTAATTCCAAAGATCATCCTTTTGGTTTAAATTGTGGTGTGCTGGTTGGACAACATAAGAAAGTTGGACTGTCTCTGGGAACTAGTAAAAGAAAACCCTAGTATTCCACGTTAACAGCACTAATCTTTGCTAAGCTCTAATGATTTAAAAGTGCTTTACAATAAATATTGCATATCTTCTACATGGATCAAAGAATATTTTACTGAATCATATTTAGGGCACAGGAATTCAGAAACTCAGTAAAAATTTCAGCTAAAAGAATGAATGTGGGCACATAGAAAAATGTGTAGTTTACTACGTGTTTCACTTTGGAAGAAGATTCCCCAAAAGAAG